AAGTTGAGGAATGAGACTTTTCAATTTTATACACTTCAATTTCTTTTGTGGATGAACATTCAAATTTTGTGAGAAAGGATTATAAGTAGATGTGTTGTTATGCATGCATTTTCCTTGTTTATGTAATCTGAATGATGTTTCCTTAGTTGCATGAGTTTAATTGTTTAACTTGTGTGATTAGTATCTTCCATACGCCCCAGTTGCCTCTTCTTATAGGATTTAAGGTAATCAACCGTCAACATTGTGGTCATCATTCTCAGTTTCGTATCTGAAAAAACAATGAGCATGTCCCTTTGCCTTATACACTTTTCCGCGCGTTTCTTGGACTGTAATAAACTAATAAAGACAGACATCAAAGAAGAAAATAAATACATTTAGCTCTTTTCACTTTTCAAGTAAGTTAAATTTGCAATTCTCTATTGTTTTTTGATCTATAAGCAATTCCCGAAATATGCTAAATCAAATGAAAATTTAATATGAAATCCTTAAAATTTTAATTACTAATTTTTCCACAATTCCACTTCATACTGAAAAAACATGACATGTTGGAAAGATTTTGTAGTTTTATTTGCAATGGAATGAGAATTTTTAATTTGGTATTCCTTTTGACTCGAAGTGTCATAAAATTCAACTGTTTTTTTCTTATTAGGAACTAAGAAGGACAATTGGAGTACAGTATAAGCAGTTAGGATGACAATCCTTTCAGTCTTTAGATTACATATAGCTAAACCGGCTATTTATCAATTTCCAACTTTTATTGAAGACTAAAGATGCAATTTTTCAAGCATTTTTTCCCTTGTAACCCAAGAAACACAGCACCCAGACACAGGGCGGAACATGTTGCTATTATCCATATGATAAATTTGAACCGACTTTAAACCTCCGAATTTGCCATAGGGATAAATTCCCAAATTAGGCACATACAATGCTCTCATAAAAATCCTAAAGATCTCCAGGATCTCCCCAGGACACGTGAAGGTTTAAAAAGACCTGCATATCTCCTCATATATGCATAATGTTGACTTCTTTAGTTCCATAAGGCTCAAGAATACAATTATACATCTTGAGACCACTAGAAAAGAGACTTGGATACATGGAAGAAGTAATATTATTGCCAAATATTTAAGTGTAGGGGTGTGCCATGCGGGGGTCGATTCTACGAGCTAATAGTTACCTAAGAAGAACGAACTCAAACAGCATACATCATATGGATGCAGCAAACTCTCAAAATGCACAAAGAACATACATATAATGCACGATGATAAGTGATTTGCACAAAAGAAACCACCGTATATGTTACATAAAAAGTAAGAGAATTCACTCAAAACTATGAATATGAAGTTGATCTTGAAGCTTATAGTACCCCTAGTCAGTTAGCTGTGAAGATATTGGATGCATTAACATAGATATAACATATAACCTTGGAAATTTTCTAATAGAAACCTAAGAAACAAAAGCACCATGCCTGACCGTTGTTCACATGACACAACTTCATCAATTGTCATCCTACAACCCAAACTTTTCATATGCTTTTAAGCTGATTAACTGATGAAAGTTATTTGTTAGGATAATTTATGAATTATAAGCATATGCACATATAGTTGTTTGATATTGCATGCTTTGATTATTTATGCAGTTATTAGCTTAAATTTATCATTCAATTGTATGGATCTAAATACGTATTTAGAGAATATTTTACTTTATTACTTTTAAAAAGCATATGAACTATTTTTTGGTGATCTCGACTACACGCAAACTTTTGTTTGTGACTCCTTTACAAGAAGGGATTCAGATCTTGAACATATCCTCTCAGATTCTATTCAACAGGGCAATGACAAATCATACTTTATGTGCTTTATGGACGAGTCTTATTGCAGAAGCGCATGGGTACCTGCATGTGGTAGGGTGAATAAGCTACTTGCGCAAGGTGTATCTCAAAATCAATATCATGAAAAAACTCTTGAACATGTATGTACCACATTTATTATTTAAATTATCTTTAAAAAAATATCATTTTGGCTTTATTTATTGCGGGTTGAAGAATTTTTGTGGTTCAATACATTTGAGATCTTAAGTATAAAGTGAATTGAACTTATTTAATGGAATCGTAGACGTTGTATGTTTATCTAAGAACCTACTAAATGCCTCTGCATCCTTAGTTCAATATTTGATTTATCATCATCATCATCATCATCATGGTAATGAGTTCATTGAGATAGTGCTTCAATTTTTCTATTTAGCGGTTCTTGCTTTCCAAATTGGATTATATTTTTCCCCTACAATGTTATAATTGATGAGGACCTCCAAAGCCAGAAGGGCATGTGCACAGAATGCAGGTACTGGATTTTTCCCATGCCAATCAGATTCTAATAATCTATAGGATAGCCATTGTGCCAAAGTCCATTGATTTTCATTGTCAGTGTCATTGGCATGACCAGAAGACTGTTCTTTTCTACGCCTCCTTGGATAACTATACCTGTTTGGTTATTTTTTCAGGATGTTCACAGGCGCTGATCTTGGGTCTGCATTTGCAACTTGCATAGGATATAAAGCTGAGGTAAGTTTCCATGCTTAACCTACACTGAAACATACTATCTGTCTATGATACTTGATGGAGCTTCAATATTTTTTCAGGGTGAAGGGTTCATGGTCGCGGTTCAGATAAATCCTATAAGGGGCTTGCCATCTGGATTTCCTCTAATTTTTTGGACTTCTTTTAATAATACATGTAATTGTACCTCCAATGATAAAATTCATAGTTAATAACTAGTAGAGAAAAGTATAACGGAGAGAGAGTGACGGAGAAAACTGAGGAGGTGATGCTAAGGGCATCTCCAACAGTTTCTCTAAAATTTTCTTCAAAATGGGGAAGCAAAAGTCATATTCTCCAAATTATTTTTACACCAACTCTAACAGCTTCCTCATTTTGAAGAATCCATTTTTTCCTCTAAAATTTTGGAGAATGCTGCAGATTTGTGGAAGCTTCCCCATTTTTTCTCCCCCGTTCCTATTTTGGGGAATGAGATGGGGAATCTGTTGGACCAAAAACCTAACTAAATTCTCCAAAAGTGGGAAATAGGGAAGCTGTTGGAGATGCTCTAATTGAGCGAGAGACTGAAGGAGAAATGTGCATGAGTTTATTTAGAAAGAAATTGAAACGTCAAGGGTAGTAACTCGTGAAGTTTAATTAGAAAGAAATTGAAATGAGTTAATTATGTAGGAGAATTTGAGAGGGCAGGTTAATAGTCAGGTTTCTTAGAATGTGATGCTCTAGAATTTTGACACATAGCATTTCAGGATATTACTTTAGTACATTGTATAAATTGTCGTTATTATTTAGTCACTGATTTGTGATTAAATCCATACACTATAAAAAGAGAATTGGGTAGTTGAAACTTTTAATTTTCTTTTTTATCCTCTCAAATTATAATAAATTCTAACTATGACATTATCTCTAATTAATCTTTCACTAAAACATAGAACCTCCTATTAATTATGCACCTCCTCAGATTATATAATTATCATTAATATTATAACTATTAATTATTTAAAATAATAAATTAAATAATTTATAAAATATGTATACACAATTATTAGTAGTAACCAATTAAACTATTATAATAATTATTTATGAATTATAATAAAATAATTAAAATAATAGTATAAATAGAATAATATATTATTAAATATTGTTAAGAGTTATAGTATAATTCAATGAGCAATATAATAAACAGAATACATTTTGAATCGCATAAATAGCATAATTATTTTAATAATATCACATAAATTATGAATTGCACTATTTATTTAGTATTATATTATTAAATAAATAATTTAATATTATTTTTAGAGTATTTTCTCCAAGATTGTTACATAATACTGAATAATCTATACTTGGTAATGATAAAAAACTAACGTTTTCACAAAAAAATATTTAATATTTAATAATAGTAGTATTAATTGTTGATGATAGTATAATAAACCTATAAAAAATATTTATAGTACTAAATTATTGAAGAGCAAAATTTAAAAAAATCAAATTAGATAAATGTTTTATAGTATATAGACAATATAATTATTTTAATAGTACTACCTAAACTAAAAATTATAATATTAAATAAGGTACACTACAGTAGACCTCCATGAACTTGCAACATTTTACATTAAATAAGCCCTATGAACTTTCGAAATCACACCAAACCCCCAATAACTTTTGTAGAAAGCCCCCAATATCTTTAGATAAATTACACCAATCCCCCAATAGCTTTGAAAATACCTTTTTATGCCATTATATGGTTCTAATTTATACGAGCTATCTGCAAAATTTAAAAAGTTATTGAGCGTCTTCTTTGAAACAGAAAAACCATTACATGTTTAATGTAATTTTGAAAGTTCATAAGGGTTTAATGTAAATTACTTATTAAATAGTTATAATGAGAAATAACTATTAGAGCATCTCTAACAGTTTCTCCAAAATTTTCTCCAAAATGGGGAAGCAAAAGTCATATTCTCCAACTAATTTTTACATCAACTCCAACAGCTTCCCCATTTTGAAGAATCCATTTTTTCCTCCAAAAATTTGGAGAATGCTGCAGATTTGGGGAAGCTTCCCCATTTTTTCTCCTCCATCCCTATTTTGGGGAATGAGATGGGGAATCTGTTGGGCCAAAAACCTAACTAAATTCTCCAAAAGTGAGAAATGGGGAAGCTGTTGGAGATGCTCTTACAGTATGCTATAAATATCAAGTGTAACTGTCTAGGGAACATCAGGAAAAAGCTAGTAAGATTAAGACAACTTAGTTAGTTTAAAGTTAAGTTAACAGCTTTTTAGTTGGAGGGGCATATTTAATAAAGATATTAGAATTTCATTTCAAATAGTATATTTGGCCCAATTCTAGTGTTTGGATCCATAAGAATTTGAATACAAACCAACCACCACCACCACAACCCCCCCGCGATCTCTCTCCCTCCCCACCGGCATTTTACTTTTGGTTGTTTCATATTGTGGAGAGACATCATCATGTTTTATATGTCTGGCTAGTATTTAAATTTCCTTGAGGGCCTGTTTGGAAACTAGAATTTCATTTCAAATAGTGTATTTGACCCAATTCTAGTATTGGATCCATAAGAACTTGAATACTAGATATTGGCCCAAATCCATTTAACAGTTTAAACCTATACTAAGCCCATAATTCTAAATCCCGATTGATAGGCTGTCATTTGTAATTCCTGTTTCTTCTCTCTCCATTTCCGCTCTCACAAATTCCCCCCGCTCTCGCGATTCCCCCCTCGCGATCTCTCAACCGGCGGTGGCGACGACGACGACGAGATCTCTCCCCGCCGCCATCTCCAACGGCGACGACCTCTCCCCCTTCATCCGCCGTGCCTTCGCCCAGTCCAAGCCCGAGGCCCTCCTCCACAACCTCCGCCTCTTCGCCCGATCCAAGGAGTTCAAGATCGAGTCCGTCTGCAAATCTCACTACCAGGACTTCATTCAAGCCGTCGACGACCTCCACTCCCTCCTCTTCGAGACCGAAACCCTAAAAAGCTCGATCAAGCCTTAATTTCCCATTGGAGAGGGGGGCGACAGCGAAGATGGTTGATGTTTCCTCTCGATCAAGCCCTAATTCCTCATTGGAGAGGGGGGCAACGGTGAGTTTCGGTGGCGGTTATGGTTGGTGAGGTCAGTTTTCTCTATTTTCTCTGTTTAATTGGTAATGAATTTGTTTAAAAGACTAAAATTTTTCCATCTTACGTAGAATTTGGTAATGTTAATGTTTGTTCAATAGTATTTGGAGGTTCTCTGCGTGGAATTTGCTAGTGAAAAGAGTTGGATTCAAAGAATTCAAGTTTAATCAATTAAACAAACAATAACCACTAGCATAACTTTCTAGTATTACACTTATTCTACTTGGTACATTTAGTAGTCTCTTCAAGTCTACGACATTCGTGAGATGAAAGTTTCTAGATATGATACATAAAAGGGCATTTTCTAAATTATGAGTCTACGATATTTCTTGAATGCCATCCTACGTTTCTGGTTTTGGCGGTGAGATGATAAGCATAATAACCAACGAGAGTTACTAATAACTTGAATGCAAATCTTTTGTGTTATCAATTTGTTCCGCATAGTTTGATGGTGCACATGTTATTCACCATCATGGTTCCTCTACTTTTTCTAATAAGGATACCAAATTAAAATCCTTGCAATTCTCAAGATATTATCGTGACTTTTAGATGTAATTCTCTTATCTATAACTTCTTGAATGTTTATTTTGCGTTTCAATATTTATCTTTTACTATTGAGATAATACTTTTGGTTGAGAGCTGATTAATGTTCATTTGCATGATGCTAACTAAGTGTATTGCTGCGAATGTACATTCCATGTATTTATGTTCAGGATGCAAATGCGTCTGCATGTCAGTTTGCAGAATGATCCAACACTTGGACACTTGCTGCTTACCTTGTGTCCATACGCCATGGAATACTAGTAGCTACCATCTCCATATGATATAGAAAGTTCAATTCATACTCAAGAGATACAGAACCTTCCGCATATATTAATATGATCAAATAGCCGATATACTATTTTTTATCGTTTATATTTTACAGTTCATATATTTTAAGTATGCTTAACCCCTTAACACATCTTGGTATGATGAATGAACAAAGTCTTATGTTTCAACTGTTCATGTATTTATGACTTGGTTGTTTGAGGCTTGGATGGGATCAGTAGCTTAGCGCTTGCCTAGTCAGTCAATTGAAGTCTCTCTTTGATTCCTTTTACCAATTCTATCCAAAAATTGAACCCTCTAGTTTCACAGCCTAAATTATGTAGAATTCTGGCAGTTTATAAGGCATCATGTTGCATCAGATTCTTCATCAGTAATTGGCTGCGTTTTTTTTTTAATTCTAAAGATTAGTAGAAGTTGCATTGCTAGAAGGAACCTTGAGTTACTGGAAACAAGACAAATTGTTTGTTTGTTATATTGACTTTTTTTTCTTTTTTTTGAGGAAGACTGCATAAAAGATTGAAAACTCAACTTATTACATTCAATACTATGCACTATATATATACATCATGGCTTCTCTGTTCTGTTAGAGGATTGTTAGAAATTACCCATTTTCAAGCTTTATAGTTCTTTAAACTGGGTCATACATAAGTTTCAGATCTCTATCAACCCCAGACTACTACTTTCAGTACCATCTCAAGACATCAATGTATGAAGATATGGATGTTTCTGATCTACTAGAAGGAAAAGGTTTTTCTCCTTTCTTTATTTAATTATCATATAGATACATGTTGTAATTTATCATGAAGCATCAGAGGATGTAAGTAGCATCTCAATCTTTTACTGGAATATGACTATTTACAAATATGAGATGAGTTTTTATACATGATTAATTGCTGCTATTTGAATCAGTAGTATATGGGAATGATAAAAATGAAAGTATCAGGTAATCAAATATCAGTTTAACATAGAAGAATGGAGTTCTGTGTGAATGGGATCCTACCCATATTAGACCAATAGAACCACCATGGTGAGGTTAATGTGGTGTAAATTGGAGGTTGGAAGAAGGCTTGACAAGTTCCTGTACCGACATAAAAAAAGCTAGTCCTGAGAAAATTAATAGAAATAAGAAAAATGTCTAAGGACACTTTCTTTTGAAGTAATACTACGGAAGACACCATCTATAATCTACCCAAAGGAGAAATTTCCAGACGTAAACCAAATAAATTTGGCTACTATAGATAGTTTGACGTGATCATATATTTGGTAGTATAGCCATCAATATAAATCATAGCGTCTTTCTTTTCTTAGCGACTAATTAAGAAGTAGTTATGAGACTTGTAACCAGGTTATGTGCTCCCTTTGCAACAACCAACTGGACCCTTTGCTGTGTTTACCCTTACCTATGTTTATGGTGCATTGCATAACCCACACACACACTAAGGAAGGTGCATCTGATCTGAACAATAAGTGTAGTAGAATTGTCGATGACTCGTATCATTGTGGTATAATTCTTGTATGTCTGCACCTTAACCTAAGACACCGATGACTCGTATCTTTGTGGTAATAACGTCTTGTCATGTTCTGAACCCGTTAACTAAGACACCCGATGACTCCGTATACTTTGCGGTATACAGTTTCCATGGCTTTTTACCTGTAGAAATATTAGCAGTCTCTTTTTCCTTTTATAATATACGATAATGATAATTATATATGTACTATAATAATATATATATAAATATATATATATAATAGTATATACAACAGCCAGAGCATTGCTCGGCTACGCATCTAGTGGTACGCATGTCAGCTCAAAAACCACAGTCCAGCGATTCCCCGTGAGCAAGCTCATTTGCAAAATCCACGCTTTGTTAAAGAAGTCTCTTCGCTGACCCTGCTCCTCCCCAAAAAGACTCGGCCACTATCCCTATCTTCTTCTCATCCCAGCATTCTTCCTCACTTCCCATCGCCACGCCGCCGCCGTGCGCCGCGATCGCCATCGCCGCCGCCTTCATCACACGCTGACGGCCGCCGCGTCGTCCAACGCCCGCCCGTCGTCCACGCCAGCCGCGCGAGTCCAAGCGTCGCCTGCCTCGCTCCACTGCCCAGCCTCGCCCGCCCTCGTCCACGCGCCGCCCCTCGTCCCCCACCCGCGCTCTCATCTACGCCACGCCCCCGGCCCCGTTACCCACGCGCCCGCGCCTCGTCCACCGCCAACCGCCCCGACCTCAGATATCGCAGGGACTACAGAGGGTTCTGGCGAGGCTGGAGCTGGAGGAAGGGGAGAGCCTGGAGAGGATGAACTCCATGGTCGTTAACGTTGATTAATTGACTCTGAAGAGAGTAAATTGAAGGGTTCTTCAAGCTTGGGAAGCAATGTAATTTTCACCAGGGAGTTTGTCCTCAGATGTGTCCTGATTGTGGGATTTTCTGAATTGGTTAATGAAGTTCTATTTGCAACATAATAAATTGCTTTTCTACTTATTAAACATAATCATTGGAATGAGTTGCTTGTTTTTGTTCCGTAATGAGGTCGTCATTTTGCTCAATACGAAAGTTCTACAATAATGATGTTTTTCTTACTTAGTTTTCATGCACATGACCTGTTTGTTGAAATGCCCAGCACATTTATCCCATTGAAATTTATGAGCTCTTGAGGTAATTAGAGTAAAACCCATATTGATTACGGTTTATAATCACAAGATGTGTTAATTTTTTTATGTACATATTAGTGATGCTTTATTGAAGGAATCAAATCGGCTTGAAGCGGCAAACTTCAACTTCTCCTCTTGAATTTCATTACACATTCTTGTTAAGTTCAGGCCATTGCAGGAAAGGAAAAGAAGGAAATTGAAAGCATATGGGTGTATTCCTACATATAAATATGATTAGATGAATAGAAGACTCTCCTGGTACTCCATATTGGAGTTGATGTGTTGGAAATCTAATCATGGTCTTTGCTTCTGATGATGCGCAGATTGAACGAACATAGGCGTGTTTTTGCAGAACATGTAAATGAAACCTGTGTACCATCTCTTGCCAAATTCTCACCTTTTTAACCTTTTTTGTATCCAACCTGTGAGCGTATACGGACAAGCATGATTTATACTCACCGGTGTGCATGAATATCAGATGCAAAGTTCGAGCTGTTGGTATGGATGCCTGTATTGAACAATATGGTTCTCTTACTTGACAACTCTTCTAATGGTATGAAGCAAAGGAAAATTTATTGACAAACTTTCACAGAAGAAACTTTAACACTTGGTTAGAACAACCAGTTGGTGCCGTAAATTTGACAAGCTGAGCTGTAACATTTCCTTGCATTTCTATTTACAAATCATAGAACAACATACTTGAATGCAACGTCGACAAAATAGGTAATAAAATATACACATATATTTCTCCATCCAATTTACATAACAAACAATATACACAATTAAAAAAATTAGAAAAATGGGAACATAAGAGCATTAGGAGTTCAGCATACTAGTTGCTAACGTCACAAGAGCATGTTTCTTTTCTTTTGCCCATACAAAAACCCAACGGAATCCAAATTATGTACATAATCTACTCCCAAAATTCAAGGTTCATAAAATCACATAAGTTACTCTCAAAATTCAGGCTCAACACAACAATAAAACTTCTAGAATTATAAATAAAATGCAAAAATAAGGAGACGTTTGCTAGCCAAGCTCCATTTCTTCTCTAATGTAGCCGATGCAATTGCTCTTCTATGCAGAAGAGCTCTAGGCGACCTTTGCATTATTGTTGCCAATCAATCCAAATTCATCTCTGCACACCAATTAATCAAAGATGAACAAATAGAAAAAGAGAGGTAGACTAAGGTGGTTCTTAAAAAAATCAATAAATTCCTTGCACTTGGAAATTTCTGTAACTTTATTTCTTCATAATGTATGTATTATTGATTGAAAATTCTTTAAAAATGCAGAACAATGAAGACCCCTAATTTACTTACACTTATACATTATGCATTGTACAGATGTTGAATAATAAAGTTTATAGATTACATTACATTGTGGTAAAATCTGACAATATTTCATATTATATATGATAAATCAGGCATAAGGAAAAATCATCTCAAGAAAATGGAACTGTTATTGAATATTAGTGACCCAATTCTTATCATTTCATAATAATTCAGAATAACAAAAAGTACTAAAATTGCAAGGAAATAAAATTGTTGAACGTACCTGATTCAAGAGAGAAGTTATCCACAAGGTTGGCTAGAGTCTTCCCTTTTCTTATTTCTCTTGCATTATTTGCTAATCTCTGTTTATTTGCCTCAATGTTTTGCTTGAAGCAACAAAAACAGCCCATCACACCACCAATTTTTTCAATATATTTCTCATAGTATATTGGATAACAAGGAAAGTTGGTGTTGATTTCATATCTAGTAGACAAAAGGCGATATAATTTTAAATTTTTATCATTTTAGTGCATGTTTCATTCATCTATTTTTTAGCCCTATTGTTCTAATGATTTGTTTATCTAGTTTTGTAGGGATTAATTGAGGCTCTAAGCATTGTTGTACCAACAGGAGAGGTTAGATTCTCTTGTAGGCATAAATATGCCAATTTCAAGCAAAGATATGATAAGAAAAGCATTCGAGGATGATACGTGGAAAGCATGTAGGGTAGTAACAATATTGGAGTTTGATGAGGCAATGATGGTCATGAAAAATATGCATGAGGGAGCATATAGCTACCTCATGCCTGAAAATCTAGCTCAGTGGAATGCATTCAGATATCGAATCAAATGAGATTGATTGTTGACTAACATGTGTGAGACTGATGATTTTTGCTGCATAGAGACAACCCATTACTCACACCCATGGAGATCATTATTAGACTACTTATGAAGAGGTTGGTATTGAAGCAACAATGCAATATTGCTGAGATACAGTGGATGCTAGCCCCTACGGCTGAGAAGAGGATTGAAGCTCTCAAGCAACAAGCTAGAGAGATCACAAACCATGTTGCAACAACCTGTAAGCCACATCTGTAAGAATTGAGGAAATTAAAGATTGATACAGAAAATGTAAGCAAACAAAAAGCAAAAAAGATATCAACTGCAACAAAGAAGATTACCTATAATGCATCAAAGAAATATTGTCATCCAAGTTTACTGCATTAGCTTCATTTTGACAGCTAGCCCCTACTTCAGTGTTCAAGTTTTTCATTTCTCACAAAAGCTTCGATACTTGCGACCACAGAGACTGAAAATTAGGCATCGAGGTTCAAGAATTCATCATAGGCTAGAGGTTTGAGTCGCGAGTCAACCAAAAGGCATTTATTTCGTTGATTTCCTCCAAATATTTCCGAAAACAAAAGAACCCAAATCAATTAATCAACAGATTTCCATAATTAAACTAATCATCAATCAAACTATGAGGGGGGAAAAACAAGCTGAAATGACAAATGCCTATACTGATTCTTTCCCATTTTCTACCAATTAGAATAGGAAAACAAAAGACATCATATCAGAATCAACAACAAAAAAAAATTATTAGGAAAATGAAACAAATACCTGAGAGAGGGTTACCTGAGAGAGGGTTACTTGAGAGAGGAAAATGAAACAAATACCTGAGAATAGGAGACGGTGTCGAGAGAGGGAGGAGGGAGGGTTACCTGAGTTGGGGGATCTCGAGATCGAGCTCGTCGGAGTTGGTGAAGAGGCGGATCTGGTTGATGTAGTAGAATTGTCGATGACTCGTATCATTGTGGTATAATTCTAGTATGTCTGCACCTTAACCTAAGACACTGATGACTCGTATCTTTGTGGTATAACGTTTCCTTGCTTTTACTGTAGAAATGTACTAGTTCTTTTTCTTATATATATATTAGGAAGTGGTGACTGAAAATGTTGTTTTTGGGTGTTGTCATAGTATGCCGTTACAGATTTCTTCTTTTTTACGTGATTTTAGCCATAACCTGTGTCAGCCGAGCTAGATGCATAGCATCACAATGGATTGGCATCATATGGGGGTTGGGCAAAATATAGTTTGGGTTGAGTTGATAAAAGCCCCCTGGGTTGGATATTTGCATGTTTATAATCTTCATTGATCATAACTATTATCTTTACATATTTTATCTAACAAATTAGTTTTAACATTGTACTTTACCAGTTCCATAAACTGAAACATATGAGCTGCATAAACTGTGCTTAATTAGAACTGATAGTATATTCTGATAGTATATTCTATAGACTGACATCTCATTAGCATCTCGATCTTCTGTGGAGCTAACACCATTGCCTTCTTCTGATGTTGGAAATCTGCATGGTCGTTAAGAATGGAGCTGATTTCGTCTTTTTGTTATTGTTTCAGGTGATTCAAAAACTCACAAAGTAAGACTTTCTGAACCGAAGGGAGAAAACTACAAAAGAAATACAAAGTGAAAGTGTATAAGCATTAGAAAGAAACTCTCATTTGAATCAGGTGTAAAAGTCTTAAAGAAACTAGTACGAGAGCAACTTAAACATGGCACTATGTAATGACAAAATATTAACTTTTGTTGGTTTGTATTTGTTGGATATTTTGGATCTCTAGTTTGTTGAATTTTGTTGGTTTGTATTTGTTGGATATTTTGGATCTCTAGTTTGTTGAATGTTATATGCAATATTTAAAGCTTCTACTTTATTTATTGTTTTGGTTAGTGGTGGATGAGTTTACAAAGTTTTATTGATGAATGATATCGGTTATTTTTATGGTGATTATTAGGTCAACTATTGACATTACTGCATTTGAGATTTTAAGGTATTTTATCTAGATGTGAAGTTAGTTGGATATGTGATATACTATTTGAGGTATTTATTTCCACAAATTTCGATGCAAACCTTATGTAATTTAGATATTTTATTTCTAAATTATCTTCGAGCTACAATTTTAGTTCAGAAATTAGAATTCTACTAGTTGGCAAACAATCCAATTGAAATTTTTAAAATTAAAATTCTAAAGTTTGCCAAACATGAATTTCAAATTAAATTTTGGAATTCAAATTTAGATGTTTTTCAAACGAAAGAATTAAATTTAAAATTCTGGATTTCAAATTTCAGAATTCAATTTTAAAATTTAAAATCAAATTCTCGAATACAAACACAACCTTATAGAATTAGTAGTTTTATTTAAGAATAATTTTAAATTTTGAGACTTACTAAAAAAAGGTTAACACTAGACGATCATTATAAGAAAAACATTCAACTATAATAACTAAACAGCAATTTTATTTTACTATAATAACTTAAAAAACACAGCAATTTTATTTTACTATAATAACTTAAAACACGTACGTTCACATGTTTGCACGCGCATTATACTAGCGGTTTTAAAACGCCCAGGTGCTGGCTTGCTCCATGATGGTTAAAAGACGGAAGAAGAGCTGCACAGTACACAAATTATACAAGATCTGAATCAACAATCTACTTGGATCTGATACACCTCAGAACCAATAGGTAGAAACTGAACGAAGAAAATGATAAAGCAGTTGCTGCAACGATGCATACCCGGGGTAAATAACGAACAAGCACAGCGCATACAGTACAGATATTTTAAATCATAAGAAACCCCCATAATAAAATCTCAATACGTCTCTTGCAAGTAAAATGACACTAGAATATGCTTATCATTTGCCAGCTGAAAGCACAATTACATCCAACATAAGGTCTTAAGAGAGGTTCTGATAATATAGAAACAAAGGCGTACCAAATGCTTTTGGAAGTCGCTACCTCCCATAATCACACACATAGTTCTGAATTAACAAGCCACCTTCCTATCATAAATGAGGCATTATTCACCAAACTCTAAAGTAACAGCATAATAATAACTATTTTAGGATTTAGGACCACCCAGTAGGATTATTTACGTCCCAGAAACCAACTGGGGAGTCAACTTCAGTTCACCCTCATCAACCAAGCCAACCTGGTGATGGCAGCAGATGAAGTAAACCGCATCCTTAGAACAGTAAAAAGACTAAATCATTCATAGACGTCATAAATTCATGTGGTAGAATATGGTGCGAGCTGAGCCAGTTACGGTTTCCCCACTACCATTAAACCTCTGAACCAAGAATCAAGCGGGAATTTTACTACGCTTGCGGATTTCTGCTAAGTTCACTGGTTGATCTTGCAGCAGTCCCTCGAAACATCTAGGAGGCTCGGCCCACCCTAGAAAAAGGATAAAAACAGATGTGTCATTCAGTAATTTTACTCCACGGTGAACGGACAATGATTAGTGGATATAAAGATGATGTATGCCATCATACATGTTTGGAAATTACATTCATAAATGAGATCAAACAACTGGGTGTTTCTTTTTTTAATGACATAAATCTACATCCCATATCTTATACTTCTAATATTTGTATTCTATGCAAGCTCATGAAATTAGTTTAGGAGAAAGGCATCGTTGTTATTGTTGTCGTTCTTAAAGCTCATGAAATTAGCAAATATTTCAAATGTTATTGGTGCTCATCTAACCAGAATTAACTTATTTAGCCCTTCATTTCTCACTTGCATAAATGCCATCCCTTTTTAATAATATGATTTGACAACGACTACTACTTCACAAATATCAAACTGAATGCAACAGGGCACCACCACCACATAAGCTGAAAATAAATATAAAGGCAAAAGTAATAGAACTCAATAGGCAAATTAGAATCTAGATCATTATGATCGCTCCTGAAGGCAGCATGAGTAGAAATCGTACTCATGTCTAGATAACAGCATACATAAATTAGTGTGATGCAAATAAAGGAAAATGAAGACAAGATACCAGCATGGTGTGCAACAAATATGAAATACTTAGTGAGTCATTATTGTTTAACTGTTTATACTAAAAAAATTGCTTTATGGCTTTGTTTCCAATAGAAAAGCATGAAAACCAATAAGCTTAAGTCGAGTCAAATTAATACAGGTTAACAAAACCAGGATAGAATAATCTTGGACCAAACTTTATTATTAATGCACATCAATGCAAAAGAATGAGTGAATTCAAAAGACTAGCTTAAGTTGGTAAAAGAACTCTGGCATGAAACGCCCAGTACAAAGGGTGTATGCCAGGGCCATACAAAGACATTGATCCATAAAAGGAATAGGTCTAACTACATGGTGATGTAGAACGCCCCAAAAGCAACCGGAAGCTAACATAAGTTAAAACTTAAAAGCTTCTAAAAATAAGCCCCTCCGAAACACTATCATAATGTACCCCCTTTTATTTTAATAGTTCCCCCATCTCAGAACTAAACCCAGTTCAATCAATATGCATACCCTAGTTGCCAAGGTAATTTAATGCTTGAAATATAAGGGAAGCCCATAGAAGAAATGAGCTCTGACAACATGGTGATGTTGATCGCCCAAACAGTAGGAAGACAAATGTATCCAACTGTTCTTTTTAGTGAATTGTATTTAACATTTATTTTAATAGCTCCACCAGTCTCAGAACTCAACAACAATTCAATCAACATGGACCCTATACTACCAATATGCTAGAAATATAAGGGAAACACTACCTCTTCCTCAAGTTCATTGGTTCAGGAAGACGCAATGTAGTCCGTTTTTCTTCCAATAAGGAACTTTCACCAAACCAAACCCCTTATCAACAAGGTTAACCCTATGATACTATGTACTTAATGCTGGAAACACACTTGACATAGTTCTTTTGTCCAACACCAATTCCCTGCCATTCAATGGTCATGCATGCATGTGCATTAAGCATTAAGGCTTACCAGTTTAAAGGTCAAGCACCTGCAATGCTTCCAAGACTGTCCACTCTCCAAACAGAAATTTAACAACACTGCAAGTATTAAAAGGTGGATGCTGAACTTGATTGTACCAGGCTGCAGACCAGTCACTGCGACATACTCTCAACCTAAAATGCAAACCAAACAAGACGAAGCATTTCAGTAAGTCATATCAGGGAATGGTCATACCCAAAAGCACAGCATCCAATTTTAAGAAACCAAAGCACTATGTTACCAATTATCATCTTCATCAACCTGTGATGGGTTTCACACGAAGTAACCGGACCACAAGGACTGGGCTTGATGCTGCTCTGGCATCATAGAAGGCTGAAAACTAGCTTGCTGAAGCTGTTGTTCCGAGTTAGCCTTGTGATGGTCAAAAGGTTGAATGTTTTGCCATTTCTCATTTATCACTTGGGCTTGCACACCAGAAACTTGCTTTCCTGGAAAAGGGAAGCTCATTGCACCATTCAACTTAACAGTGCTATCAGCAGGAGGATGTTGATACATATGTGCAGCATGATTAACTGAGCTTTCCATTCCCAAAGCTTTGCCTGATGAAGACTGATATCCATCTAGCCAGCTGTAGTCGTCAATCTGTGGATTTTGTTCATTTAGTCCTAGTTCCAAGCTGAAGTCCCCAAGTTGCTTTGAGGGTATGTTGCTAAATCCAGGAGGAGGACCCAAGTGCCTAACAGGTCTACTCACAGGAGCTTTTCTCAATGCAGTTAGCAATGGCCCTGAGGGTTTCACAGTTAGGGCATCAGAAGTCACTGGTGGAAGCATCACAGAATCCAGTGTAGATGGTACAAAAGATTCAGCAAATTTTGGCTGCCCAGATGACCTGCTGCTAATGGGATCAATTGACGACGACGAAACCAAAGGTGAGAATGCAAATGCTGTAGGTTGCATAGAGCTTAAGCCTTCTTGTGATCCCTGATTAGCTAAAAACCCATTACCATTTATGTTGAAATTCTTTAGCCCATTTGAAATGAGTGCTGCTTGTTCCGTTAGCCATTTTGAAGTGTTCAGATTCATGTGCGGTAAAGGTTGCTGAAAGAAATTTACACCAGAAAGATCCTGCGATGAGCTGGTACGCAGACCAGTTGGCATTTGAAAATTGCTGAGAGATACGGGGATTTGTATACCAAAGTTTGGCCATTCACCTTTTGAAGAAATTTGTGCAGGTTGAATTGTTTCACTGGCAGTTGACATGGAAGTGGCAGCCCATTCTCCTTTTGTAGAAATTTGTTCATGCTGATTTACAGCAGAAAGATCCAGTGATGAACTGGTATGAAAACCAGCTGGCATCTGAACATTGCTGAGAGGTGTGGGAAGTTGTGTACCATAGTTTGCCCATTCACCTTTCGAAGAAATCTGTGCAGGTTGAATTGTTTCATTGGCAGTTGACATGGAAGTGGCAGCCCATTCTTCTTTTGTAGAAATTTGTTCATGCTGATTTGTTCCATTAGCAGTTGACATGGAAGTGGAAGCAGTTATACTAGGATGCTTCTCCCCAACTGTAGGCTTGAAGACGATTTCTTCTTCTTCATCTTCTCCATCTGCAAATACTTGCGCCTTGGGTTGTGCAGTTCCATAATCAAAAGTGCTCTCAACTGGACCTGCTGGCTTAGTGAGGTTCAAATTAGATGCATCTGACAAATCATTACACATGTCATAATCCATTACTGGAGGCTCTATACCGATTACAAATCTCTTAAGGCGAGGATCAAAGTATATTGTGTTTTGATCAACCCGAACCACACCCATAAGAGCCCTCCCTGCAGCAAGAATCCTCTGG